AAAGAAAATGCTTTTACCATTTACCTTTGAGTATGATATTTGGTATAGGTGTCAGAAGACACTTTGTATCAAGTTAAGGTAGTTCCCATTCTATTTGGTTTGCTAGAAGACTTTTTTAAGCAGGAATGGAGACGATCATAAAGTTTTTAACCTTTCATTTGTTAACATGGTACAGATTATTTTAAAAGGCTTTTAACTAATTCAAAATCATTATTTAGATTAAAAGAACACAATGTTTCTGAAGTTATTATAAGATCTTTTAATAACTTAATCAGTTTTAGTCAATAAAGGGATTTTTTGTTTGTTTGTTTTTACCTATTTAAGTAGGCAATAACTGCCAGTTTTTCAAGTCATTTGTAAAAATGTCATTCTACATATAGGCCTCTTTTAAAAAAAAATTGAATTAGTGAAGTAGAGTGATTGAAAAAGGTAACACATTTCAGTTCGGAGAGAATTTCCACCCCACCTCCAAGAGTGTGGCGGCCTCCCGACTCTCCAAACCCCAGCAGTGAGAAGTCCTGGAAGAGTAAGGGAAAGGAGGGGTGGAGACCTCAGCACTCAGCATCCCTTCTTTGGTCCCCCATACGTGTAGGTGACAGTCCATGACATCTCAGGCTGGATTTGGGTCTACATTGTAAAATACACATTGTGGAAATGCGAACAAATTTGTTTTCTTTATGGGCAAATATTAACTATTTTAGTCAAAGTAGACCATTTTTCAAAAACCAAATACATTTTTGGATGAGTAATGATTTAATGGGAATGCAAAATTATTATCATTTTTTCTGGCTCTGACTGTTAGCCCAGTGTTTTGTACTTAACTATATATAGTACAGTATGACGCTATCTCATATACAATCCACTCTCAGATTCAATATAATATATATATACATAGATAGGCAATAAGAATTACCACAAAATAGTCTACCTGGAAAAATCTTCTTAAAAAGCCAATTCATCTGAAATATTCAAGAAGAGAACTGCTAGCTATAAGTGTTACACTCATGTAACATGATTTGATAATTTATTAATTAATAAAAACATTTTTAGAAATAGTTGACATAGTTTCAGTGATGAATTCTCCCAGTAGAAATATCACAAAACACAAAAACATAGCCATTGGAGCCAGAATATCTGGGCTTAAATTATAATTATACCTTGCCCTGGCCAGGTGGCTTAGCATCATTCTGATGCATCAAGGTTGTGGGTTTGATCCCTGGTCAGGGCACATACAAGAATCAACCAGTGACTGCATAAATAAGTGGATCAACCAATTGGTGTATTTCTTATTTCTCTCTCTCTCCTTTCATCTCTCTCTCTCTAAAAGCAATTAAAAAATTAAAGCAATGTCTTTTACTGATTGTGTAACTTGAAGCAAATACTTTAGCTCTGTAAGCCTCTATTTCCTCATCTATAAAATGGTGACTATAATGGTCAACTCCTGGAGTTGTTACAAATAGTAAATTAATTGAGGCGTGTTGAATGCCCAAGATAATAGACATTCACGGCACGGTATTGCTCGTTCCTTTCTAGCAAAGCGGCACCGTCATCTGCAGTACCGCGTGGTGCTTACGGGCAGGGACTCTGAGGCTCCACTGCCGGGGTTGACTCCTGGCTCCACCATCTCAACAGCTGTGGAACCATGGGCAAGCTACTTAAACTCTCCATGTCTCAGTTTTCTCATCTATGAAATGGGCATAATAAAAGCTGCTTACAGGGTGATAATGAGGCTTAAATGGCTTTATTCAGGTAAAAGGCTTAAAACAGTGCCTGACACACAGGAAATGTGATATACACATTAGCTAGTATTGTCACGGGCCTCATGGCTTATTATATCAGCATATCTCGGATTCATTACATTTATAACTGCAGCTGTGATCGATAACGTGTGGATGGGTGTGCTTTTCTAACTTGAATGCCGTGAGCTGGGTGGAGAAGCAGAGGAGGCCGTGCATGACCCATTCTCAGCTGTGAATGCCTTGTCCGAACAGCCATCTTTGCAGAGCCTTGCTCTGGGCATGGGGAGAAAGGAGGAAAGACATTGCATTTCCCCTTGGCGCCGCTCACCATCACAAAGCCATGGCTTTAGTGAACACTAATATTTTTAAGTTCCATTGCCAATGGTATTTATAGTGAAAACCACATTGTAACAGCATTAAAAGAATGCTGTTCTAAAAATGAAAAATAAATCAGCTACAAGCATGCCACCTGACACAAAAGCTGATTTTATTCTTTACTTCTCTCTAGGTTCTGTTTATATGCATACACAGTATGTATTCACACAGTTGCTGTCACTGTGTACATACAGTTCCGTACTCTGTTTACGCATTTATCATTAACCAATATCCCTTTTCCCTATCATATAATCTTTATAATTATTATATTTATTGATGGCTGCACAGTCAAGTTGATAGGCCGGAATAACCCTTCTTCTGATAATTAAAATGTTCACCTTTCACATACTGTAGAACTCTGCATTTGAATGATAGTAAAGAAAGTAAATTATAAAAGAAAAGGAACTCAAAGACCTAAACCTCCTGATTGCAAAAGGAAAGAGAGGGGAATGTGTATTAGATTGTCTAAGAGCTGTGAAATACTATCATTTGATTTTGCAATAGGCTTCCACCCCAAATGCTTTATTTAATGCATCTATTTTAAGATTTTGTTTATTTACTTTTTAGAGAGAAGGAAAGGGAGAGAGAAAGAGAGGGAGAGAAACATCAATGTGCAAGAAACACATCGACTGGTTGCCTCTCGCATACCCCCAACTGGGGGCACTGCAACGCATGCATGTGCCCTGACTGGGAATCAAACCTGTGACTTTTTGGTTTGCAGGCTGGCACTCAATCCACTGAGCCACACCAGCCAGGGTGAACATAGCTATTTTAATTTTAAGAGAATTAAAAAGACGTTGCACATGACGGGTGTGTGGAGGTTCATTACGCTCTTGTCTACCTTTGTATATGTTTGAAACTTTCTGTAATTAAAAAAAAAGAAAGGAAAAAATGTGCTTATAAAAAAATTTCCAACACCTTTGGAAACAGTTTGATGTGCCTCTTGGCAAGCAGACCACCAGCAGCCCCCGTGGCCCCTTAGTGAGAACTTTAAAGTCCTCTTCCTCAAGAGCCTTTGCTTTGTTGGGGTGCTTTTGCACAGCTTCTCACCCTCTGCAGAGGCCATGCTTGGGTATCACTAAACTGCTGCTGAAAACATCTTCTTTCAGATGGGGGGCAGGGAGCAGAGGGGGAAGGGTGGAAGCCAAAGCTGCTTCATTGACTAGTAGCCTTTACTGGGAAGGGGGTGACCAGCAGTAAATGATGGTACAGTGGGCCATGTCCTCCCCATCCACCGTTGGCTGAGGCCGTTGGACCTGCTGACACAACCCATCCCGTAGGTGAGGTTCCAGACTCATGAGAGTTCTGTGCTTTACTGGAGTATCCTGACAACACACTCGCTAAGGCCAAGGCTGTCCTTTCTCCTGGTAACTCTGTGACTCACATGAGTGTCCAAGGGTCTCATGCCCTGCCCTCCATCACACCCTAGTCCTGTCTATCTCAGTATTGCTGTCAGAATGTCTCCTTTTGACTTTCCTTCTTGGTTCTTGTTCTGTCCTGGCGTCGGTCAGTCCCATCTTGGGGAATTCTCCCGTTACGGATGCCCTTGTCCATAGCCTACGGTATTGTGAGGCCTCTGGCAACGTGGCAGGTGTCAGAAGGCTCCTCTCATGCCTAGGGGTTCTGGGTCTCTGGGCAGGGGTATAGACACCAACTTTCCAGTAACTCTACGTGGCAGATATTGTGGCTTGATTAAAAGAAATAAAGAACATGTGTGTTAGGGCTGAAGCATTATAGATCTGACAATTGATCTGAGTGAATGAGAATAATAAAGGAGACTTCTTGCAGGAAGGAAATTATTTTTAGAAACTGAAGAGTAGAGAAGGGTCTAGTGTAGTGGTGCTAGCACATAGCTCCATTGATGATACTGTGTGACGGTAGGCTCGTCACTTAAGCTTTCTGTGCCTCCAGACTCAGCATATCCAAAGAGGAGCAGGGACAGTGCCTACCAGAGGAGGGTAGGTGGTCTAGGAGGCCCTGCTGAGTTAGTGGGTTAATGGGGCCTGACACTCAGTAAATGCTGGTCAGCAGCAGCATCTGACACCACGTCCTCACACTCTTGCACATTGCAGACACTCGAGGATGAGGCAGCCTGAATATTAAATATGAATAGACAATCAAGGGAAATCAGACAAATGAGGAAAAGTGGCATCATGAAAAGTGGCATTATGATAATAATCATTACTAAGTGCTTTTATTAAGTGCTTACTGTATATCAGCAAATGTTTTAATAATTTTGCATAGATTAAGCCACTTAATCATTATGACTTTATTTCATAGAGAGGAAACAAAGGCATAGAGAGCTATGAATTTTTACTTTATTGAAAAAAGACAACATTAGATAAATTTTTGGAAAAAGAAAAGATGACTGCCCCTACTTCTATTCCTCATACAGAACATTTTCATTTTCCTAAATTATTTTCTAGTCCTTGTTCATAGCCAACTTGGTTTTTAAAATAACCTTAGTCTTTGTATAAAAATGATGCATGTTCACAAAAAAAGCTCCAAGCAATAAAAGTACAAATAAGAGAGCGAAATAGAAAGATGATATTTAAGAACAGAATGCTGCTCGTATCATGTGACTATTGTCACTGGTGTATCTATTGTTCATGTGTGAGTCACTAAAGTGAAATATTACTCCTTGGAAATGGAAGGTTTTTGCTAATATTGAATAAAGGCAACTTAAAGTTCATATTATGAAGTACTAAACCACTTGAGGCACCAAAAACTTTCTTAGTCCTCAGATTATACAATTTTTTTCTATAACAAAAAATAAGGTCCCTGTACAAGACATTAGAAACGGTATTGTGAGGCCTCTTCTTGATAATTTGATAAATACTGTCTTCTTGGTAAATACCTTCTTGATATTTTGTTTCTGTTCATTAGAGACCCAAGGCTTCCACTGCTAAACCAAAAGCCCAAGATACCTACTGTCTGGGTCATAAGCGCTCTGAGAAAAAAAGGTAATACTTTTCTTAGCATATGAGGAGACCTTATGGACTCATATAACTCCTGCAAAAATTGTCATTCAGATTTTTGTGACAGGTTTAAGTGTAAAAAATAATCTGTTGAGAAAAAAAAGATTCATAATATCTCATTTTATTTTTATTTTGTAAAAGATTTCATTTACTTATTTATTTTTTAGAGAGAGGAAAAGAGAGGGAGAGAGAAAAAAAGAATCATATATCAGTTGTCTCCTGCGCACCCTCAACTGGGGATCGAGCCCACAGCCCAGGCATGTGCCCTGACTGGGAATCAAACCAGCGACCCCTTGGTTTGTGGGAAGACGCCCAACTCATTGAGCCACACTAGTCAGAGCAATATCTCATTTTAAAGCTAATGGGGACTTACATAATCTCTAGTTCACCTCAGGTTTAGCGGCCAGAGAGATTGAGGGGAATCCAAAAGTCACAATGAACTGAGACCAGAATCCAAGTTTTCTGACTTGTAGACATTTATTCTTTGTGTCTTGGAAAATAGGGAAAGAAGGCGGGGTGGGGAGTAGGTAGTTGAAATAAAAGCTCAAGTCTGGCCATTTTTTTAATCAGAAAGTAAAGCTTTCTGGAAAGTTTCCTGACTTCTGAATAAACTTCAGCCAATTTCCAGGATTAAACAAGTAGAAACATAAGATACTCCCTAAAAGATTTCAGAAAGTACTCTATTTCTCTTTTAAATACAAAATAAGCATATTTCAAAAGCACTTCCCATCTTCACGCTGAACGTCTGTGTTTAGACCTGAGAAGAAAGAAAGGACAAGGCCTGTGTGCTAATGTCCCCCATCGGGCTCTTAGAGACCCCCAGGAGAGGCCAGGGGGTCTGTCCGTCCCTGAGTCAGGCCTCGTGCCAGCACTGGAAGACATTACACGTGTGGGCGATAATGATAAAGGAATGCTTTGGGGGACTGTTTGAGATCTCACATCCTCACGATACCCCGTTAACATCACTGTTAAAATTAGCATCGGTTTCCAATGAGAGAGGGCTGCTCCCTAAAGCCCCCACTAGGGTTGCTCCCTTGCGCCCAGAGACCACACACGGTCAGGGGGTGCTTAGCTCCACACTGCATACAACCCTAAGAGCCACGAATGTTTTCACAGGTGGGCCTCCAGAGCACCGTGCGTCAGATTCAAAGGATGGAGCAATACTGAAGGGAAAGACTGCTGCACAATAAACTGGAGTGTCGGGAGCAGGGACCTAGAGAGGTTTCCCGCGGGCTTGAAGCTTGCTGTGTTTGTCATCTTCATCATTGTGCTATTTGTCTACATAACTGTAGAAAAGAAGCCTCTGTTTGGTTAAGTGCTTCAGGGCAGAGCAATGACTACTCCAAGCCCGCCTGCTTCAAGAAAGAACAGCACTGCCCTGAAGGGGGAGGGCCAGCCCTGCAGCCAAGCAGTCTTCGCTTGCACTCTGTGGCTCTCGCTTCGGCACCCAGGCTCAGGCAGGTGGAAGAAACGACGGGGAGAACCAGGCACTCGTGTCCAGGGGCTGGATTACAGGGAATTCCATGGGGCATGCCGGCCCTCATTAAAGGCGCTTCTACAGGGGAGCACACTTCGAAAACGGAAACTGTGCCAGCACTTTTCTTTTATATGATGGTAACAGAGCATCTATCACATGTTGTTTACTCTTTAAATTGTATAGTCATCTATGGGAAAGGCCACAACAGGTAATTAACAACAACAACAAAAAATGTATTTTTTTTTGTTTTGATTTGGCAAACAAAAGAAAATACCAAAAATCACCCAAAAACAATTTAGAAAACGATAGCATTTTCACCACTGAAACTTAGCAAGTTTTGACAAAATTGAGGCCTATTGAAGGAGCCATCGTGGCCTTTGGGGCCGGAGCTGGGCAGGAACCTGGCTTCTCTGCGCATTGGCTCTGTGCCCCTGGATGAGTTAGTTGTCTCTTCTGAGCTTCAGCTTCAAGTTCTGAAAGCAGAGATAGAATAGACCTCTTCAGTGATGAAGAATTTGAAGAAATAATGCATACAAAATTAGTGTGGTCCACAAATGAATGGCAGTAAACCCCCAACATAAGCTCGATAAATGCTTAAGCAATGTTACACTTTGGCACAATATTTTCACTTCTGGAAGGAACTAATTCTAGATAAAGAGAAATCTTAAGTACAAAGAATTTGACTGTAGCAATTTAATGGTAGTCCAAATGTAGAACAAACCCAAATGTCAAACAACAAGAGAATAGATTAATATATTGAAGTAAAGCTTCTTGATAGATGATTATGCAATAATTAAAATGTTAACAATGGATTTATCATAATAGAAAGTGCTTATTTAAAACCTTTATAATAGCTTCATTGAGATATAATTTACATGCCATACAATTCACCTATTTAAGGTGTACAATTCAATGATTCTTAGTATGTTCATAGAGTCGTACAACCATCACCAAAGTCAATTTTAGAATGTTTTTATCGCCCCCAAAATGCTTTTTTAAATATAAACAAAAAAGGACACAAACTTGTTACTACTGTGTTAACACACCTATTCAAACAACACTGAAAGAAACTATGTCCCAATGTTACCAGTACTTCAGTGATAAGACTAATTTTCTTTTCCTTTGTTCTACTCTTCTGTATTTATTAAGATTTCTATAAGCAGAGTGTGTTAATTTGCTAATGAGAGAAAATGAATTTTCATTTTTAGAAATTTTATATAGTATTACAGTTTGGCTACAAGGAACAAAAAACTCCAATGAGGCCAGCTTAAACAAATAAAGATTTATTTTTATTTCATAAAAAGAAATCTGGAGCTTAAAGCATATCATATTGTTAAAAACAACCAAATGCGATATTATTCTGATTCAAATAAGCCAATTGTGGGAAAAATGATCCAGAAAACTTAAAACTCACTGGATAACTGGTGATACTAAAAGATGCTTGAATTTACTACACAGCAGCAGCTATTCTGTGACCATGAGGTAAAAAACATGAGAGAAAGGCTGAGAGAATCGCAAACACATTGGCTTGCTGTGTGTGAACTGCTGAAATTAGTTTGGCTGTTCAGACCATTGCATTTACATTTAAGGCGGGACTTCAGGACTAACCTTATCCTATTGCCAGTTCTGGGTTATATATTTCACACAGAACAATAAGAAAGGCTGGGAGAGTGAGCATTTGAACATTAGCAGCTTCTATGTCAACAAACAAGAGAAAAGGGGATTGGGTATAAGAATAGGAGGAAGCAACCTACAGTGATGATCACATGTTTTTTTAAAAAAAGACACTTCTGAAGCTGTAATTGAAAAATAAAAAATAATGATAAAAAAAATTTTAAAGAACACTTCTGTCCTTAATAAGATCAAGCATTATAAAAATAAATAAATAAATAAATCACACCTAGAAAGGCTTCTTTTGTACTTTAAATTTTGGCCAATTCGTTCTTTTTTGTGTCATTTTAGAATTATTGTGAAATAATTCTATTGTATTATTGTAAAATTTTTTTGACATACATTATTATATGAGTTTCAGGCATACAACCCAGTGATTAGACATTACATAACTTACTAAGTGACCATCCCCATAAATCTTGTACCCATCTGACACCATCCACAGTTATAAGAATATTATTGACTATATTCCCTATGCTGAACTTTACGTGCCCGTGACTATTCTGTAACAACCAATTTATATCTCTTAACCCCTTCACCTTTTTCACCCATCCTCTCTAGCCCCCTCCTCTCGGACAACCATCAGAATGCTCTCTGTATCTATGAGTCTGTTCCTGTTCTTCTTATTGATTTATTTTTCTCTTTCAGATTTAATTTTTGATAGATATATACTTATTGCTATTTTATTGTCCACATGTTTTTTATTTTTTTCTTCTTTTAAAAGAAGACTCTTTAATAGTTCATGTACTACTGGTTTGGTGGCAATGAACTCCTTTAACCTTTTCTTATCTAAAAAGTTCTTTATCTGTTCTTCGATTCTAAACAATAGCTTTGCTGGGTAGAGTAATTTTGGTTGTAGGTCCTTGCTTTTCATCACTTTGAATGTTTTTTTGCCAGTCTCTTCTGGTGTGCAAAGCTCTTGTTGAGAAATCAGCTGACAGTCTTGTGGGAGTTCCTTTGTATATAATTAACTGCTTTTCTCTTGCTGCTTTTAAGAGTCTCTCTTTGTATTTAACCTTTTGCATTTTGATTATGATGTGTCTTGATGTGGACTTCTTTTGAGTTCATCTTGTTTAGGACTCTGCACTTCCTGGACTTGTATGTCTACTTCCTTTACCAGGTTAGGGAAGTTTTCTGTCATTATTTTTTTCAAACAGTCTTTCAGTTTCTTGCTCTCTCCCCTCTTTCTAGCACCTCCATCATGCAAATGTTGGTACGCTTGAAGTTTTTCCAGAAGATCCTTACATTATTCTCATATATATATATATATATATTTTATTCTTTTTTTTTCTTTTTGCTGTTCTGATTGGGCATTTTTTTGCTTTCTTATATTCTTGTATTTCTTATATTTGATTCTCAGCTTCAATCTGTTCTACTGTTGATTTCCTGTAAATTACTCATTTCAGTTAGTGTTCCCATCATTTCTGACTGATTTTTCAATGCTGTTAAGGTTCTCAATAACTTAATTGAGCATCCTTCTAACCAGCATTTTGAACTCTGCATCTAGTCGATTGCTTGACTCCATTTTGTTTAGTTCTTTTTCTAGAGTTTTGTTCTGTTCTTTCATTTGGGGAATGTTTCTTTGTCTCCTCATTTTGGCAGCCTCCCTGTGTTTATCTCTATGTATTAGGTAGAGCTGCTATGTCTCCCAGGCGTGGTAGAGTGGCCTAATGTAATAGGTGTTCTGTAAGGTCCAGTGGCACAGCTTCCCCAATCACCCGAGCTGGGCACTTAAAGTGTGCCCTGATGTGGACTGTGTACACCCACCTGTTATAGTTGAGCATTGATTGCTGTTGGCACAGAAATGGAAGGAACTTACCCCCAAGCCAACAGCTGTAAGGACTGGCTTACACCAACCACCAGCTTCTGACCACTGTGGAGGCTCAGCTGTATAGGGGCTTACTCCACAGAGCAAGACTTACTTCAGTGGGGCTCTGGTGTACTGGCTCTGGGGCTTGCTAAGACGTAAAAGCCAAGGTCAGCCACCACTTATGTTCAATCCAAGGCCACGCAGCATGAGCTACAGCGACCTGCAGATGGCTGCTACTTGTACTGAGCGTGGAGGTGCCCAGGTGAGGTCAAGCTGCAACCAAGGCTGGCTGCTAGTAGCAGGCCTGGGGCCACTTAGTGAGAGATATAGGGCTTGCTGAGGCCAGATGCTTGTTTGAGAGATTTTTAGGAAAGTGTGAAGCGTGAGCCAAGACAGGTCTTTCATATGGAAAAGCTACTGGAAACAACTTGGGTGGGCCTAAAAGTTGGGTGGGTCAGGACCTCGGGGAATTGCCAGAATAGGGCAAACTGTGTGAGTCAGGTTGATTGAGCCTCAGATATGGCAACTGCCTGCCAGCTCCATGGTCTCTTTCAGCCCCTCTAGGAGAAAGCTTCCTCTCTCCCAGTTCTTGCCCTGATGTCAGACAATTCAGGTCCTCCTTATATGTCCCTGGTGTCTTTCAAGCTGCTGCCCCAGTGCTGGAGTTTGGAGAGAGTAGACCCAAATAAGCCCACGCACAAGCCCTTTAAGAGGAACTTCCTGGGCCCTGGTTGGCATGGCTCAGTGGATTGAGTGCCATCTGCAACCCAAAACATCACTAGTTCTATTCCCAGTCAGGGCACATGCCTGGATTGCGGGCCAGGTCCCCATTAGAGGGTACATGAGGAGCAACTATACATTGATGTTTTCTTCCCTCTCTCCCTCTTTTCCCCTCTGTCTAAAAGTAAATAAATAAAAATTTTTTTAAAAAAGAGGAACTTCCTGGGACTCTAGAAACCCTCCATCTCCCTTAGCCTCAATTCCCACTGATTTTTATAGCCAGAAGTTATGGGGACTTCTCTTCCTGGCACTAGAATCCTAGGCTGGGGGGCCTGGTGTGTAGCTGAGACTCCTCGTTCCTCAGGGGAAAACTCTGCAGCTGAGATGTCCCTCCCAATTTTTATCTGACACATATGAATATGGGACTGGCCTCATTTGCATACTGCCCCTCCTACCAGACTCAATGTGGCTGTTTCTTTAATTCCCTAGTTGTAGGACTTTCATTCTGCCAGATTTTAGGTGGTTCTGAATGATGGTTATTCTGTAGTTTAGTTGTAATTTTGATGTGGTTGTGGGAGGAGTTGAGTACCACATTTACCTGCACTGCCATCATGACCGGAAGTCATCAATTAGTTCT